TGTAGCAGTGTAGACAAAAGCTTGTGTGACAAACATCATGGTAAGGCATGTTGAGACGTTCTTTAATAAAAATGACCAAAGCAAACAAGAGTCATCAGCCTTTTTTACATGTAGAGTTTGTTTGCTACAGCAGATGCAGTTTCATTTTTGACTAGCCTATATGGGAATTTGAGGAGGGGGAGTCACTGTGCTTTTGAAGTGTTGATTAAACATGCAAATTATATTTATTTTCACTGGTGACGAAGTAGCGAGAAGGATGTTTTAAATGTCCAAGCACCTGTTATACCTCCAGATTAGTTTGTGGTTTATACAAGATTGTCTGCTTTCATTATAGTGCTTCAGGGAAAATGAATAATAAACTGAATGAAAACAAGCAGAGATGATACAGAGGGTGCACATGCACAAATTGGGGTGTGGTTGTCACAGGGCTTGCTTTGGCCGACAGAATTTCTAACCAAATGCCTAAAAATCAAACGACCAAAAAGACAGCAGTAGATCCTATAAGCTCTCTCACCTTGGATCAACCATGTGTTGCGATGCAAACCTTAGAAAAGCCAGTGTAAAAATAAAATGTTATTTCAGCATGAAAGGAGCTCCAAAACACTGTTGTACAGTGTAGCTCTGTGCTGATGCTTTCTTTCAACCATGGCTACCTTCTTTTAGGAAGCATTTCTGTAGGAAAAAATAACTCCTTCCCTTATAAATTTTGCTTTAAAACTAGGCAGCTTCATTAGTATTAAAAGCACTTTGATCCAATGCTGTGGCCCAAATCCCACATGAGACTTATACCTTCCTCAGGCTCTCCACCTTGGTGTAATATTCAAAACGTAAGCAAACATCTCTCCTCAGTGCACACAAAAAAAAATGATTTACAAACGTGCAGTTTGCAGCTTTCTTTTTAATGAAGTTTCTCATCAGTGTTCTTGGCTGAAGGACCGACTCTAGTAAGTCAGAAGCTTCAAAGCTGTGGTGGCAGCTTCATTTGACATTAAAATACTACAAGTGGTGAGCATCACATTCTCTGAGAGTTGGTTGTTCCCAGTTTCACTCCATTTCCCTGGTTTTGAAGAGCAAATATACATATTAAGGGACATTCTGGGGAGATGTTTGTGTCCATTGCTCCTGTTTGACCTTATTGAGAAATGCTCACACAGCAAAGGGGGTGCAGGAGCTCCAAGAGGAACAGGAGCTATTTCATAGCAGGGATGTCTACCAGGCTTTTCCAGCCAAACTAAGTATTTTTGGAGTTTCTCTGCGTTTCCCCCAATTTTAAAATCTTCAGGTGATGACTTCTGTTTCGTGCTGCTGTGCCTCTGCATGCACAGTATATCTTCAGGCTGTTGTCATGCTCATCCCCATGGCTGGTGCTGCCATCTGTATGGGAGTCGGATTGCCTTCTGCAGTGAAAGTCGTCCCTACATGTGTCTTGTGGTGGTCCTTTTCCATCGTTGAAGTCCCAACTGGAAGCCCTGTTTGCTTCAGAAAGGCCCTGCGCTTCTCTAGGGTGGATGGTCGTTCTGGCTGTGGGTAGACTGGTGTGGAAGGTGATAAGTAGTAGGGCTTGCATGCCTGTCCTCATCAGCGGTGCTGGAGGTTTGCATTTGGGGCTGGCTGCTGTAGTGGGTGGCCAGAGCAGCAGGGCAGTGGTTCTACCCCCTTATTTTCTTGCAGACAAATGCCTGTAGACCTCCCACATCCAGCACACCCACCCTGCTCCATCCTTCAGCTTTATAGTATACAGATTTCTCTGGCTCTGTGCAGCTGGCTGAGGGGGGAATGTGTGAGCAGAAAGGAAACTTTATTGTGACAGACAAGCTGGAAGATTGACACAGTCTTCGTAGATATATTAAAAAATAAATGGCTCTGCTTCAGCCTGTGAAGTCTGATCCTCATATATTAGCTGTGTGAGCTGAGAGGTGGGGGAAGAGCTCTTTTATTTTCTGGTTTGTTTGCTTTCTGCCTTTATAATCTCAAAGGGTTTTGCCTGCCTGCAAACCTTAATGTATTGTGGAATAGTTAGAGCAGAATAATGTATAGTTTAGGCAATGTATGGATACACTGATTTTATTGACAAAGTACAACAATAAAATTATTACTTCCCCGTTTGTCTGCTGGCTGTGAAACACTGGCATATTATTAATACCGCTCTGCTGGTAAAATCTTACTCTATCAGGTGTTTCAGAGTAGTAACATGCCTAAGAAAAGTGATTTTTGCCAATGATACACTGTAAGCAATTACAATAGTTTTGATATTTTATAAACCATTTCACAGCCATCTTCAGTATCCTGCTTACAGAGCCATCTATGATGGGCTTGTAAAAATTAAAACATAAAAGCTCATAACTGCATTAAAGTTTACCTATTTATGTGAAGTGTCTGGTGCAGCGATAGAGGGTTGCTAACGAGGCACCATGAAAATGCTAAATCAGGGAGTTCTGAAAAAAAGATGACAAGAAAAAAAAACCTTTTCCCATTTCAGAATTTTTAAAATTGGCGTTTAATAATGGAAGACTAAAGGAATGGAGTTAAACATTTAATGAGTGAAATGTATCTAGAAATTATACCAGGGGCAGTTTTATACAGAAAGACCCAAGCAGGAATTTGGTACTTGGGCTGTTCCCTAAAACAACTCCTTGTTGTTAAGTAGTAAATTAGTAATTTAAGTCATTAAGCTTCAGCTTTTAAGCAGCTACACCTTGAGCTGCAATTTAAGTCACCCTTAGCAGAAAGAGGGGAAATCTTTTATGATTATTTCTTTTATTAATATTTTACACTTTTAAAATGGTTTTATAGTCATTCTTTTATTTGCTTCTTGGCTGGTGAGTGTTGTGAATTTGAAATTCATCACCGTACGTCTGCTCTTAATGTCTACAAATGTAGAATGACCTTGATTGAGATCAGATTTACTAGTATATTCCTTCCCTCTTGCTCAGTAATTGCAGCTTGCCCCTTTCAAAAACAAGTTGAGAGAAGCTTTTTCTTTCTCTGAAGTTGCCAACAGCCAAGTGTCAACACTTCTGAATAGAAATCTTCCTTGGAAAGTTTCAACCTGAAGGGAACTGCTGTAGTCATGGTCTGAAATTATGGTCTTTCCTAATGAAAGTGCTCACACAACCTTATCTCTGCACGCAGAAGCAATTTTTAAACTAGCCATGCTATTTCCTTTTTTTCCCAGGTCTTAATATTTCACAGTTTACTATAGTAGCTAAAACACATGTAAAAAATAAACTCTTCTTCTGAATTTCTGTGTAAAGCCATTCTGCTTGTTTCAATCACCTGCTATCATCCTGTTTATCAGTGGATAAAATCTCAACACCTACTTGATGGTTCAGTTGCCTGAAATGCTGTAGGGACGGTTTACTGGAGTCACCGACGGCAGCTGTGACATTCAACAGAAATTATCCAATCTGTCCATCTTGTTCCCACAACTGGAGAAAATTACTGTGATCAAAATGGAAAGAAGAGTAGTTAACCTTTTATTTACCTCTCAGTAGGGTGATTTTATAAAGTAGTTGGGAAGTTTAGCTCTTCTGGGTTTCAGTTTTCTATCAGAGCCGATTCCTCTGTGTTTCTGGGCATTGGGATTCTCTGACATGCTTTTATTTGCTGAATTATCAATACTTTCTGGCTAATGTAAATAAAAATTCTGGAAATGTTCAAAATCATGCCTCAGCACATAAGCTACCTTTTAAGTAGTAGAGGCCAGGATTTGGCAGATGATGTCTGGATGAAAAAAAAAAAAAAAGTGCACATTTTAACGTTAGTTTGTCCATTTTAAAGTGGACTTTGGTATAGGTTAGAGGGAAACAATCAAAGACCACTTGGACAAAGAATATTGGTGTGAATTCTGTGAGATTTGTAAATTAATATATTCTGGAGTGCAACAGCAGATGTTGCTTCGAAACCTGTCCCATATGGGACAAACACAACCGAACCAGTCAGACCAGTGGTACTGCAGTTGAAAGCATTGACCTGATGCCTGTTTGTGGCAACCTTGCAAAAAATAGTGCCACTGTTTATTGCAGCTGCTGCTATACATTGGAGGGGATGATAAGGAAGGAAAAAGATATACCTGGCACCATAACTTTTTCTGTTGCGTTGACACGTGCTATAGAAGAATGACGTTAGAAAAGTAAATGTGCTTCCTACTAGGTGAGTTGGGGGGGATTAAAAAAAAAAAAAAGTCATAACAGCTTTTAGTTTGTAGATTTCTTTTCAAGGTGGTTGTTTTTTCTTTTTTCCTCCAGGCTTTTAACTTCATTTTTCTTATAGCACTTTAGAGACTTTGATTGATTGCAGCATCTGATTTTGATGAGTCCAGAGGAGTCATACCTAAGATATTCCTTGACTTTACTTTTTCCTTTTGTTCATTATAAGTTTCTTCAAACGGAATATTTTGTTTCATTGCATGGCATCTCTATCTGGTCTGATGTGAGAGGAAAGCGCATTCTTTGAATAACTAACACATAGATCACAACTTCTCTTAAAATGGTTGCTGAGAAAAAACTTAAAGTACTAACTACACCAAAAAAAAAAAAGATGACCTGTGTGTCACCATCGATATGCTCAGGTTTTGTGTAGTGAACTTTCCCTGTGAGCAGACCTGCAGGGAGTGAGAACAACTGTTTCAAAGTTGTGCAGTATTTACAGTTGTACAGCCCTAAAGACTTAAGGTATTTGTGAAAACATTTCATCCTACATGTATATTGCAGTAGACATATAACAAGCATTTAGTGCATCCTTTCCATTTTTTCCTGCAGTCCAGGTACTTCAAAATTTAGCCTTCACTACTTTTCACCTTTTAATTATCAAACATTTAGTATATTATGTGATTTCCAGTTATAAACCTTTTCTTACAATATTACTTTTACCTTTGTGTCTAGGTACAATACCAGAATGGATTGACTTGCAATGGAGTAATTTTACAGTCATGACATAAGTAAAAAGATTACCACAGGATCTCTAATTTATTTTTTAATCTTATTTTCTATTTCCTACAGATGTGATCCATACAGTTGGGCCGATTGCAAGAGGCCATCTCACTGACACTCATAAAGAGAACTTGGCAAATTGCTATAAATCCTCTCTGAAACTGGCAAAAGAAAACAACATCAGATCAATTGTAAGTACTGTATGAGAACATGTTATTTCTTCCGATTTGTGTCTTTGTTTCCTTGCTTGTAGAATAACTACAATGGTAGGCTCCCAGAAGGATTTCTTGTTGTATATGATGTGAAAAAGCAAGAAACTAAACATTATTTAGCCCAAATAGGTGCTTAGAGAAAAGGGATATGCTTATTTTAGGAGTTAGAAAGTTGGTCTGGTAGTGGGGGTGCAGACAACTGTCTCATTAAGGAGGAAGTGGTTCCCACGGCTCATTCTTATACTGTATCATTTATTGAAAAAGACCTTAGCAGCCACTGATCAGGAGGATAATTGCATGCGATATTGCCCCCTAAATGGCTGAGAAGTGATTAATTTGTTGCTTATTCTGTCTGTTAATGTTTCTTCCTGAAAATAAAGGTATTGGTCGAGTGGCACTGTTTATAGCACACCCTCAACCAAAACAATCATAAAATAACCTGTTGTATGATATTCCATCGAATTATAAAGGTTCCTTGATTGCTTGAAATACACGTTACATGTTTGTACCAAAAAAGGCCAGATGTTCCAAGTCCACAGAGAAGAGAAGCTCTTCCCTCTCCAGCTCTGGAGCTTTGATTCTGTAGCTCAAACTGTTGCAGCTGAAGTCTTTAGATATCCATAGGTTAATTCCTGGTCTGTTTAACGGAGAAGGAAGTTATCACCTGGGCCTGACTTCACACCTTTTGGTTCATTTTGGCTGCTTGTGTGATAGCACGTATGTTTGGCAACTTAGTACACACAGATGCTTAATCTAGACATTGTTCTTTGGACCATTGATGTTATATCTGGATGAAATATTCAGCAAAGGAAATATATTAACATTGAGAAATCATAAATGGGAAATAAAGCTTTTTGAGGAGAGGGGCAGGACAGGTATAGGGCTTTGAGCCCAAGTTAGATGTGCCCTTCAGAGTCAAACCTGATGAATATTGCTTATTTCTTTCTTGTTGCTGTAAACTGTGCTCTTCACACTTTCTGTTAGTGAAATCCTCTCTGTACGTCTCAAAATGGTGTCCAGGGAACCCTCTCTTTGCCATTATTCAGCCATGAAAGAGACGTGGTGCCCAGAGTTGCTACCTGATTTTTTTTTTTTTTTCCTTGTAATGCTAGGCACATAAATTAGAACTGAAAGCAATGGTGTGTGTGTGTGTGTGTGTATTTTGAACTCCTCTCTGAGATTGTTTAAATACACAAGGATGTTTCCATGCTGCTGTGATTCCCATTGGAGCAGGTAAGATCTTTGTGCTGTTGCTCCTGTGTTCATCCTTGTTCCTGCCTTTAGACTCCGGACAATTACATGCTGATTCTGGAGCAATCAGGCTACAGAGAATGAAGTTCCTAACATGAGGTGGGGCGGAAAGGAAAAGAAGGAAGGAAGGAAGGAAAAGCAACTAATGAAACTGTGTGAAAAAAGAATATTGAAATAACAAAGGAAAAACTGCAGTGGGCATTGATCAATGCTTGTAATGCTCGCATCTGTAGGGATTCTGTAATTTTAGGACATTCTAGGTGGTAGCTTAGTATTTAACATGGAATAATAGATTGGTCATATGCATGGTTTTCACGAGAACTAGCCTGATATTTTAGTAAGAAAAGATGACCACAGGAGAAATCATCCACAGATTATTTCCTTGCTGGTTAAGAGCTGTTGACTGTGCACCTGTTTGAGATGAAAAAAATACTCAACACCCAGACTTGCAGAACACAGCTGCACAAGCTGAACAGGAGCCAAGAGACATTCATTCATACCAGCATTAAGAAGCTTAGCAAGCAATATGGATTTTAAAGTCCACATGACAGATCATGGACTGTTCTGAGAAGCCCTAAGTCCAGTGATTTCAGTGATGCTTTGGGAAGTGAAGGCTACTTGAGTGTCTACCCTAATGAACAGTTCAAGCCTGGAGCAAAGTAAAATGTATAATTCATTCAATTAAGGAGCAGTAGATTACCGTGAGTCTGAAGAAAAGAATACAAAGTACAAGTGGGTTCACAAGATCCAGTACAGTAGACATAAGGGGAAAGGAAAGAAAATGAATAAAAATGTCTACAGACTCCTGAGGCTTACAGAGACCCAGTAGAGAGAACAGAATTACTCAGATTGACTCAAATAGGCAACATCTGAGTGTGGACTGGATTATGGTAACAGATATATTGGCAAAAGGGAGAAAACAAACAAAAATTGTGCGGGGGAGAGGGGGAGGTTACATGTGTAAAATAGGATAAAATCAGCTGTGATGATTAATGGCATCTTTTGGTTGGTCTTTAACAAGAAGGTGAAGTAAGTATGGGAAAGAGGAAAACGAGAAATTTTGAAATAGGTACTGGCTAAAGGCAAGAAAAGCAGTGTATATTTATTTATGATGTATAAGAAGGCATTGATGATAGCAAGTTGTAGTATACTAAAAGAATTAACTAAACCGGAAAGTGTCGAAGCACTAGCAGTTGTAGTAAGTGAGCAGGAAGGTATTAAAAGATTGTAACAACATGAATGTGTTACTTATTTTCAAAACAGAAAGCACAGAAAGTCTAGAAATGAATGCAGAAGGAGGGGAAAAAAAACCCCCACAATTCAAATTGTTTTGAACATGAATTGTGTCATAGAAATTAGAATTGCTGGAGGCGTTATGAATGAAGAATAAGGATGAATGGCAGTGTATCAAGTTGGACAGAAGTGTGCAGGATGACTCAGGGTGCACCGCTAAACGCAGTTTAATTTAACATCTTTATTAATGATTTTTGAAGAGTACATAAACAGCTCATTAATTACATTTACAAATGATACTACATTAGGCAGTGTTGCAAACACTAGAAAAGGACAGAGATATATGATGACAATTGATTACAGAGACTGTGAGTATAACCTCATCCAGCATCCACCACAGCACCAGAAGGGAGTTTTTACCTCCACTTCAGTGGAAGGTAGGTCACAACCAGAGCTGATAGCTGCATTGTAACTGGGCACGGGAAAAGATGAAGTAGCGTATGGAGGGGGAAAAGTAACCCCAGTTTGCAAATAGTCAAAAGGAGAAGCGTGCTGGAAAAACAGAGCAATGAAGAAATGGTCTTGAATAACAAGTCTCGGATTAGATACGCTTACAGCAGTCACTTGTTTTGTTTCAGTATTACATATTTTTTAAGCTGCCTATAGAGAAATGATGGGTGCCGTAAAAGTTGTGGTTTCTGTTCAAAACGGGCTGGGGAGAACAGGATTTGGAATAGATCAAAAGTCATTTACGTATGTGTGTACATACATAGTTGTTTTACATATTGAGGAAGGGAAGCAATAATGAAATACTGTGTAAATTGTGAGATGCAGCTTTTTTAGGAGGGGTCTAGAGAAGAATGTCACCGTGTGTATGACAAAAATGTCAATTAAATGGTGTAGCTCATATTAATTTGGGTTGTGTTTGCATCCAAGGTGTCCAGGCATGGATCGCAGCAACTCTGTGCTAACTCTTGGGGGAGCACTGAAATCTCATCTGGAAATGTTATCATCTCAGTGTATAAAAGAAAGATGTGATGGGTAAAACCAGAAATGAGATGAGGGAATATATGAAATGCCAGTCAGCACGATTCCCGAGGTTCATAATTCACCAGCAGCCCAGCCCTGGGTGAGGATTTGCATAGCCATTAAGGCAGAAAGAAGAGCCTCAGGAACAAATTTGATTGTCCGCAGGATTGTTCAGAGAAATCAAACAACCCCTGACGTTTGTCTCCTGTCCCTGTTTTCTCAAACCTTTTATGCTCAATATGAGGTTTCAAATGCCATATGAGCTATTTTCATACAGGAGTTTCTCTCTCAAGTCATCTACTCCATCTACCTTTTAGGTGACCAAGGTAAAGTTTGTGTTTGTACTTGTTATCTGGCATTCCAAAAACCATGCATTGCTTTTTTTCTTTCATATTTGTTTATGTAGCTGTGCCCACTGTAGGATGCTTGAGCTGCTCTCTGACTATTTGTGTGGTCACTGGTGCTGGGTGAAACTTTTGTGTTGTGTAAGTCTTATTTATACAATCCTCTGTCTGGTGAAGAGGACACTTGAGACATTGTTTCTGTTTATCTCCACTTAAGTTGGTAGAGGTCAATGGGAGAAAAAAATACTTAAGGTAATACAAGGAGTTTATTTGAGGAGCAAATAGTTGACATTTAAGCAGATTAAGTTTCTTAACTATTCAGATAATTTCCTAGTAATGTAAAAAAATTGTATTTTGATGATGGTCTCTTTAACACACTGGTAGTAATTGCTGCCCTGCATCAATTAAGTCTCCTCTGTCTGAAATACTGGGAATACATTATAGGCTCCAAATCCTTACTAAAAGAAGAAATGGTAATAACAGTCCGGTAGACCCTTTTTCTGTTTTCCTGTATTGGTTTTCTAAATAAGAGTCTTACAGGCCAATTAATTGTTAGGTTATCAGACAGACTGGGGGAGTTGCAATCACTGTTTCCAGGGGTTAAATTGCTCCCCTGTTTACACATTGTTTGAAATTATTTACTCTGTGTGCTCTGACTTTTTCGGAGGACCTCCTGTCCTGCTTTTCTTTACATACGCCATCTGACACCCTGGAACTTTTCTGAACATCAGGCATTTCCCTGCCACATGCTTCATTCAGACTTAGCTTGTTGCTAAAAAATCTCAAGCAGTTGATGTCAGTCGAAGCCCGGATTGCAGTTAAACAGACACTTTGTGAACTATGCAGAAAATAAAAAAAAAAAATTAAAAAGGCACTGTGCATTGTTGTGGGTGGGTTCCAAGTCAAAAGTGTGTTTTGCAGAGAAGGGAAGTGGGTGCTGATCCCTCATGCAGAAGGCCGGGCAGGCTTCCTCTGTGATGGTTATGGAAACGGAGAAGTTTTATTCCGGAGTACAGCCCTGATGTTGTTCGGGGCTGTGTTCGGCGTTGAAGTCTTCAGGATCACTTCATGTTGGCAGGGGGCGAATTGTAAAGCTTTAACAAGAAGCATTTCTTTAGACCT